GAGCAAATGAAACATGATTTTATGAAAGGTCTCTGACCCTTGATCACCATGGAATTGGTTTCAGTCATCGTTGTTTGATCTTGGATTGGACACGACCCTGAAGTGAAATTGCTTTGGCCAAAGTTGAGGGTGGGTGGGAATTAAGCCCTGAAAAAGCAAATAGAACCAAGGACAAGTAACAGCTGGAACAGTCACCATTGCAATCATCTTTGCCCTGGCGTGAGCCAAGCAGAATAACATGCTAAATCTCCAAGGGTGAAGAAATAGGGACTAGAATAGGATTTCTGATGCTTGATTGACACCCACCTCTCTAAACCTCCTTTCCACAGTAGCGAACTTTTACATATATTTTCCCATTCCCACCCAGCCAGTATTCCAGCAATGCAAGCCAAGTTCAACATTCAAATGGAAATGCCAAGGAAAGAGTCAGATCCCCAGATTAAAGGGAAATCGTGTGTGTGTGTGTGTGTGTGTGTGTGTGTGTGTGTGTGTGTGTGTATCAATCAATGGCCTCCAGATTATATATAAAGCCAAACTCCAATCCTCTGCAAATTGCGAGAACGCTACCTTTTTATATTGCTGCATAGCGATTAGTTTCTTCCCTGGGAAGTAATGGAAAGCTGTTTTGTTTTTTTTTAAAAAAGGCAACTGTTTGGAATATTTTTACTACCAAATAACAGTGGTGGCAGAAGAAATCTTATTTTAATTAGGCAACTGCCATTTCTGGCAAGAGCAATAGAAATTTGTTACTTTTTGTAAGTGTTTAATGTTTGTTTTTAAGAAACTAAAAAAGCAATTTCAATAAGTCTGGTTATTCCAGCACTGACAGCAGGAACAGCTCTGAAGCGGTTATAATAACCTTGCACACTACTTGAAACTGAAGAAGGTGAGAGAAAATTTAAATTGTATGGTAGGAAATTAGGTCAGCCCAGGGCTCGGTAGGGTAATGCTTTAATTTCTTATTATTGACAAGTAGGTGTTGCCGGGGTCTTTTGTCACATCCAGTGATTTTTGTCTTTTAATTTGCACCAAGTTCCTATCACAGCCTCAAGGAAAGGGGGAAAGAGAGCTTATTGTAGTTTGTACACATTAAAATAAGAGGGGACGTCAGAGTTTGAAGGCTGTTCAGTGAGGCATATCTGATGCCAGGCTTTGGAACCAGCAGGGCCAAAAACCAGTAACATTTTTTAAAGATTTAAAGTGTTTTAAGGATTATTTGTACAGCCGGTCTCTGTGTTAATGTACACATAGAATTTTGATCTATGCTGAACATCACTGTTCTCAGGAAGACCGAACAAAGATGTACCCACTAATGTGTGAACAGGTTTCAGAATTTTCTTTCTGGTTGGGCCTGATGTATGGGGAGTGCATTTCCAATATGAAAAGTGAAGAGCAGAAAAGAGACAGCTACCAAAAATAGTACCACCCACCCTTCCACCACCACCTCCCCAGCACAGCATATCTTTCTATAGGTTCTGTATATTTCAGGTAAACCAGAGCTGCTTCTCATGGAGTCACTGGGAATCCACTACTGTTTGTGAAGACAGCCTCAGAGTAATAAATACAGCTGTAAAATCTATATTGGTCACAAACAAAAAATTGCTTTGTCCTGTAAGGTACAGTGTGGATAGGAGTTACGCAGATCTGTATTTAGCAATTCATCCTGTTCATATGCATCTTTCCTATCTGTTTGCGGGGAGGGTTAAATAGTGTCTCACTAGGGCTTAGAATTCACCACAGACTGAAAACAGCCACATCCAGTGAAGTAAATATTTTGTTCACCATATAGCTCCCCCCCCAAATCTGGTCATTTCGGCTGTGTTACCAATTGCTTTTAGCATTAAATGATTGAAAGATGGTTTTTTCTAGTTTTGAGGCTTAGCCACACCCTTCATTTTTCTTCCTTCCACTGTGCTCACTTCTTTTGCTTGGTACTGGTTTACAATTGAAGTGAAACTAAGACTGCAAAGGTGAAATATAAATCTGTTTTGCTCATTACTTTGTATTGCTTAAAAATAAAAGGTTTGTGTGTTGGAGGGGAAGAAGGTAAAAGAAGATTGGCTTTTGGATTTGTTTAAGGTCATTCATCTAGGTTATTCAAGTCCCCCAGTATCGCAAGTACTTGGGAAAATGAGTACCTAGAAAGGAATAGTACTTGGTAACACACGATCAGGGATAGAAGTCAGGTCTTAAAATTTCTCCCATCTTCCAGTAAAGGAAATTTCAGTTTAGTGAAGGACTGTTGGGTTAAAAAATAATTTATACAATTTTTAAAAATAATTTTAACCACTAGAACAAATTCCTTAAATAAAGCTAGAAATGTAAGTATATCCATAGTCGTGAGGGATTCTTTGGGAGGGAGGGAGCTGCATGAAGCCCTCATTCACTCTATGTGGGATTCTCCTGTCACTTGTACGCAAGTCTCCCTTTTCTGTTGGAAATGCATTTGGTACAAGGCATTTCTTGCTCATGTCCCTCCGATTTGAAGTCCATTACAGATGGTGTCTTTTCAGAGTGGTTCTCTCTGTCTGGTTAAGGTTTATCAGATCAGACAGACATTTTTCTGCCCATCCATTGAAGATGCTGCAGTCCTCCCACATGTCGTGGAGATGGGACGCTCTTAGTACTCAGTGTGTGTAATAAGGGCCTGGACATGTGGACACACGTGCTTTTTCCCAGTTCTCTGTCCCTCCACCCTGGTGCTCACATATGCATGGCCTTTGGAAATGCAGGGTGGTCTCAGTAGCAAGTAACCTTCCCTTGCTGGGCATTTGTGTGTGGAATTGGTACACAATCACTTTCCAAGCTAAAAAATACCCAAGAACCAGCAACACTTTTCCCATGAAGCTGCAAGCTGCAGTCTCCTTGTGCTGTGAATATCAAGTACCAGTCCCGCCACCCCTTGTCCAGATCCTGAACTAGCTTGGTCCTGGGGCTTCTTAAACCCTCTAAGGTCAGTGGTTGTCAACCTGTGGGTCGCGACCCCTTTGACGGTTGAGCGACCCTTTCACAGGGGTCGCCTAAGAACATCCTGCATATCAGATATTTACATTACGATTTATAACAGTAGCAACATTACAGTTATGAAGTAGCAACGAAAATAATTTTATGGTTGGGTCACAACATGAGGAACTGTATTTAAAGGGCCAGAAGGTTGAGAACCATTGCCCCAAGGCATGGACTGCAACTTCTGCTCTTCTTGCTCTTTTAATACTTGGATGCCATTCTGGTACATTACCTCGACTGAGAAGCCCCTGGTCATACTCCTCATGAATTGTCTCTGCGGAAAAGTAAAACAGAAATGAACATGTTTGGGAAAGACTGAAACAGCCCTTACCCAGTGCATGTTATCTTTTAAATTTCTTTCCATAGCCTTCACTGTTCAGTCACTGAATGGGAAATATTAGAGGGATGGTGTTTGAAGTTGTGCAGTTTGAGGGATATCCACATGTTTTGTGACATGATTGTATTTTATTTATCAAACCACAATACATATTTCTCTGTTTTGCTTATATCTTAAAAACAGAGGTAAATCACATTGCGTGTTGGTTTTGCTCTCTATAAAGGGTCTTAGGCTTGGCTGACTTACCCACGTTATAATCACCTGATAAAAGGTTTGCTTTTAGTGGGCACTAATTTGGGGGGCACATAATAACAAAATGACGACGTATTGAACACTAGAAGGTGCCAGACACTTATTTATATCAACTAATCCAGGTGAGCAGGCTTGCCTCAAATTTCCCAGCTAGTAGGGCACAGAGCCAGAATCCAATCCTAAGACTTAAAACCTATGCTGAGGTCGCTTGACATTGTTGCCTCCCCTTGAAATGTCCACATTTAAGCTGCTTCTCTTCTCTCTATCCCCACCCTTCCCCAAAGATTATGAATAGGCTCGGAATATTAGTCCTGAAATATCATTCAAGGCTGCATTTTACTGTATCAAAGCCAGTCATGTAATCCCTGAAAACTAGAAATATGATGCTTTGGTGATTTATGTAGATGGGCCAAAGTAAGGAAAAGTATATGTAGTTATCTCTCCCGGATTTATTCATGTAATTGAAGGAGGAACAAGGGTGTTTTGTTCTTTTTTTTTTTTTTTTTTGTGGCAGGAGCTGATCGCCAGCAACCACACTTAGCTAAACTTTAAGAAATGGAAGAGAGTTGTGAATGCTTCATTCAGTCCCAAGTAAATATAGGAATATGTGTAGTGGTGTATAGCATGCCAATTTAAAAAGACATTCTAAAAGTAATGGGAAGAGGGAAGGTATGATGTATTAGTCAGGCAATGGATGTACGTTAAGCTGAAATGAAATACAGTTATCATGGATGGGTGATCTGGATATGGAGAAGAAAGAGTAATAGAAAAACGTCAGGGGCAGTTAGAGCAAATGAGAAGTGAGGCGGTTTATTTATTAAACTAATGTCCAGTATCTCTCTTTGACAAAGTTGAATGACACTTGTCAGTGTCCTTTCTGAATGTTCCCCATTGTACAGGTGAAGAAATCCTGATACAAGGTCATTTTATCATAACAGAAGTGCAACTGACTTGTAGGCACACAAAAGAAACAAATTCTGGTTACCAAATGTGTTCATATTGCTTTTACCTTTTAAAAAATATATTTGTTTTGATTTCAGAGAGGAAGGGATAGGGAGAGAGAGAAACATCAGTGACGAAAGAGAATCATCGGTGGACTGCCTCCTGCACGCCCCCTCCTGGGGATCGAGCCCACAACCCAGGCATGTGCTCTGACCCAGAATCGAACCGTGACCTCTTGGGTGATAGGTTGAAACTCAACCATTGAGCCATACTGGCCAGGCTGCTTTTACCTTTGAAAGCAATGGTAGTGGCTTCTCTGCTTGGAAGAGAAACATTCTCCACATGATGAAAGTCCTTTGAAGTACAGATTCTTAATGATTCAAAAGCAAACCAGGCCTTTCCCCCTTCCTTTTCTCTACTACCCATCATAAATCCTAAAGTCTTTCTTTGCATTTTGTTTTAGCCACGAGACCCAAACAACATGCTGGGACCATCCCAAAATGACAGAGCTCTACCAGTCTTTAGGTAAGGACATGGCCATGTTTCTTCTAGTGGATTGTATGTGCAAGTCATTTGTTGTCTTTAACATATCACTAGATTGTTTAAAGGGTGAAAATTACACCTTTCTACTCCACATTTCAGGTTTTCAGAAGTTCCTTAAAAATAAATTTTAGAATTTCACTGATTCCTGGAAATTCAGTATACCCCAGTGAGGCCAGAAGTTCTAGTTTTCTTTGAGCCTAAAAAAATAGCAAAAATACCTGCAATTTATGGCAATTTCCCCCCAGCCAAGGAAGATAACTGTTTGGAGTTGCTCTTATTGATTTCTTCCTTGCAAAACCAAGACATCGTTTTGCCAAACCACAAATGTTGTGGAAAGGGATTTTCTGCAGTCCTTCCAGTGCTTATAACTTCTAAGCCTGTCAGGTCATCAGTGTGAACATTTAAATGACTTCTATGGCTTGTTTTGTGTTTGTGTGAGAGCCTGAGAGTTCTTTTACTCCTCATAACCTGGAATTTATTGGAACCGATACACAGTCTCCAAATAAGGGGAAAATACCAATCTTTTTCATGATTGATGAAGGTCCACTCTATACCTTTTAAGCTCCGCCTGGAATCATCTGAAATGAATTGTTACATTGTCACTAATTGCTGTTGTTTTTGTTTTAAAAATATTTGCATTGATTTCAGAGAGGAAGGAAGAGGGAGAGAGAGATAGAAACATCAATGATGAGAGAGAATCACGTGGCTGCCTCCTGCACGCCCCTCACTGGGGATTGAGCCTGCAACCTGGGCATATGCCCTGACCCGGAATTGAACTGTGATCTCCTGTTTCATAGGTTGACCCTCAACCACTGAGCTACACCAGCTGGGCTGATTGTTGTTTTTAATAAAAAATAAATAGTCATGTCTTCTCTACTACTAAAAAATTTTGTCTGCTTTTTTCTGAATGGATGTATTTACAGATAAAAATGCATGAGGTGAACTATGAGTTTTAACTTATGTGACAAAGCCCATGAGAATCAGGATGCTTAAACAAATTGTGTAGACATAAATCTATATTGGGTTTATGTGTGTATCTGTCTACCTGTAGCAATTGCTACCTTTCTCTCATAGATTTCTATTGGTTAACGAATTGCAGCTATGGACACTTAAGGAGTGGGGTATTAGCCCCAAAAATTCATTTTTCTAAACTTTTTCTACTTATCAATTACATATGTTTATTCTAGAAAATCTGAAAAATGCAAATAAAAAGCATGAAAAAGAAGTCACATAATTCTAGCCAGACATTTCTATTACATTTCAAGTAATATCTTGGGTTTTTTTCAGTGAAACAGTGTGTGTGTGTGTGTGTGTGTGTGTGTGCGCGCGCGCGCGCGCGCATACGTACAGACGCACACACACCCCTTTTAAAATTGAAAGAAAATTTGGATCAGCTAACTTTTAAGTGCTGCATTTTCAGCCCCTACAGAATGTTTCTGGCTTATAATGCTGCACTGCTTAGACCACAGGTGGGAAAGAATGCTTAGATTTTGACAAATGAGAAAATGAAGAGTTCATCTGAAGTAGGCAGAGTCTGTGCTGGGGGAACTGGTAGTCTCAGCCCAGTGCTCTCAGGACTTCGGATTTTTCAAGAGAAACTAAAAATCTGTCAATAAAGAGCTAATTTAATCTTGTCTGTGGGCCTCCTGATTATAACCTCTGGTTTACACATACTCAGCCCACTCATCATTTTCACTCTAATTACAGTGATCTCTAGTGGTAATCTTTTAATTTACTTTAATTTTTAAATTATTATTATTGTTGTTGTTGTTATTGTAAAGTTAATAGTGTTTCATAGTTTTTAGTTAAAATATACACAGGCTAACAAATGAAAAAAGCAAAATCATCTAGCCCCCTTTAGAATTAACTAAAGTTTAATAATCTAGTACAGTGATGGCGAACCTTTTGAGCTCGGTGTGTCAGTATTTTGAAAAACCCTAACTTAACTCTGGTGCTGTGTCACATAAAGAACTTTTTTGATTTTTGCAACCATAGTAAAACAAAGACTTTTATTTTTGATATTTATTTTATATACTTAAATGCCATTTAACAAAGAAAAACCAACCAAAAAAATGAGTTCGCGTGTCACCTCTGACATGCATGTCATAGGTTCGCCATCACTGATCTAGTAGGTATCTTCAAAAATTTCTTTCCATACATACCTTTTTACAAAAGTTGGATCATTATGTTTTATAGTTAGCTTTTTTATGGTACATTACCTAAAAGTAATGTATCATGGTCATATTTCCATTTATTGCATTGTATTATCTACCATCTTGCTTTTAATTACTCTGTAATGAGAAATCACAAATATGGTTGATAAAAAGCTAATTGTGAACTGTCAATGAGTTGGTGTTTGTAACGTCAAAAGGAATTAAATACAATTTTATCATATTTCTAAAGCTTTCTCAGGACACTGAATGTGATGGTAAACTCAAAGCTCAGTGGTGTCCAGCATCGTTTGTAACCTTGGGCAGATCACCTGCCTTTGGAACATAATAGAATTCTACAGTTGCAGGGAAATTTGGAGCTCGTTTAATTACCAACTTTATCTTGGGTGAAATCAACTATATTGAGGTCATTTACACAAAATAAAATGTAGCCATCATAAATACGTGGTTAATTCCAACCCCCTTTGAAATTCTATTTTTGCTACCCTAATAACAAACATTTTGGAAATGAACTAGGTGTCAAATTTGTTTTTTAGCTTTCAGAACCAATATTCCAGTATTTTTGTTACAATCAAATGTTGCTTTTCTCCAATGATGACTTAACCACATAACATGTCCATTTATTTTTTCAATATATTTTTATTGATTTCAGAGAGGAAGGGAGGAGAGAGAGATAGAAACATGAGTGTTGAGAGAGAATCATTGATGGACTCCCTTCTGCACACCCCACACTGGGGATCGAGCCCGCAACCTGGGCATGTGACCTGACTGGGAATCGAACTGTGACCTCCTGGTTCATTGGTCAGTGCTCAACCACTGGGCCATGCCGGCTGGGCACATGTCCATTTATTGAGAGTCTACTGTTTGTGCTGTACGTGTAACATGTCAGCAGCCATCATGCATGGTGGATGATATCCACTGCCATATTGCACAGGGCAGTGAAGTCAGGTGCAAAGAAAACATTTATCAGAACTACATAGCTGTAAGGGGCTACACTGGTATTTGTCCTGGGTCTTCTGTTATTTTCACTTATCTCATTGAGTTTATTAACTTAATAAAGTATGTCCATGTAGGTTGCTGTGTGTGTACCTGCTACAAATATGTACAAATTGATGGCTTTACCTATGGGTAGACAGTTACTTGAATGGTATTTCTGGAACAAACCATTGCTTTTCTACCAGTAGTATGGTGGGTTCCTAGACAGTAGGCACTCCTCCTTTCACTGTTGCCAGTTGCACATGGAATGATTGATTTAGTTTGTCATGTATCTACATCCCTAAGATAACCTACAAGCTAAGTACCATCATCGCCCTTCTCACCCTTAAATTATAGTGTTTCAAAGTTAAAATATAAGCAGACATCCTGAAAAGTAAACTTTTATTTCTTTTTCATTTTATTTTATTATTTTATTTTTTGTTAATCCTCACCCGAGGACATTTTTCCATTGATTTTTAGGGAGAGTGGAAGAGAGAGGGAAAGACAGAGAAATATTGATGTGAGAGAAACACATTGATTGATTGCCTTTTGCACAAGCCCAGACCAGGGCCCGGGCACGGGCCCGGGAGCCTGCAACCAAGATACGTGCCCTTGACCAGAATCGTACATGGGACCCTTTGGCCTGCAGGCCGATGCTCTATCCACTGAGCCAAACCGGCTAGAGCTTCTTTTTATTTTATATATTGGCTTATATTTTTCCTCAAAAGGTATCTCTTTAGGTTTAAGTTGCTATTCTGAGCTGGATGAAATGATTAGAAGCCTTCAATTGCACTCAATTCATAAAAGGTATTATGGCATCAAAACTGGTGTTGTCTGGTGTGTTAAATATTTTAGCCATATTTTAGTAGGCCCCTCTCCTAATAAAACCCCAGCCTGTCTGTGGTAATGTGTTCAAAATATCAAGATGTGGCCTCTCCCCATCATACCTCCCCCCCCCCTTCAGACATACCTTCACTGTGGACACTGCAGTGGCTCACAATATGCATGAATTGTTAAACATTCCTAAATATGCCCACTTCTGAGGAGATTTTCATAGTCTTAACTTGGCAAAATCTCCAACCAGCCTTTTCAACACACTTTGTTACCTGCCTTGCTCCCAAAAGCATTCAAGTGTTCCCCCCTACCCAGATTCTGAACAGCACAGTACTGTAAGCCAAGAACATTTTGTAAGGACTGAAAAAGTAGCACTTGAGCATTAACTGTTGGAAGGCTGCACTATTACTTGAAATGTTAATATTGGAGAGCTCTAGTTATTAGCATTCCAGCTGATTTTCTTTTTCATTCTTCTTTCCCCAATTTTCTACAGTGAATTTATATTAATCTATAATTACATATTTAGCAAAAAAGTTTCATCATCAGAACTCCCTACCCCATTCCTCAGTGTCCCTATGGTTGTAATTCATAAAAGCTACCATAGCCACACTCACACTCACACTCACATACACGCACGTATGGACACACACACACACACACACATATACAGAATTTATGTTTAAATACCCTGATTCCCATAGACTTTTCTTGGGTAAATTTAAACACAAAAGATCTTCTCATAGATTGTTACTCTCAAAATATGTCCACTCACAAAAAAGCGGCTTAAAAATGCTTAGTGGTAGAGAAGACATGGCTAAATTTTTAAATTAAAAAAAAATGTAAACGATTCATTTCAGATTGTTCTCAACGGATCTAAAATGGTGTGATTTTTTTCAGTGAGTTTTTATCAAATGTTAAAAAATATTTGTTTTTCCCTTATTTTTAGGCGGTGTCCCCATTCAAAAAATTCCAAGTTCTGAGGTGGAAAAATTTACCAGGCTC